AGAAGCTACTAGGTTGGAGGCCATCGCTATAAGGTTGGAGGCCATCGACATCGCTATTAGGTTGGAGGCCATCGCTGCTAGTAGCAAGAAGCTACTATTATTAGGTTGGAGGCCATCGCCATTAGGTTGGAGGCCATCGCTGCTAGTAGCAAGAAGAAGCTATTAGGTTGGAGTCCACATATCTATATAAATAACCTGCAAAGAGTCTTTTTGCCTCAACTACAAATTCCCCACCTGCCTGGCCGGGCCATTTTCCAGAAGGTAAAGCTGTGGGTCATCCACGACTCTTAGTGTAGAACCATAATTTTTGCAAGTGGAAACAAGATTGAGGACGCCTCCCAATCTTTTGCCCTTCCCCTCAAGTGGTTTGTTGCCAGCTTTCTCTGGGAATTTGCACACCACTTGCAGGCATGTTTGTTGGCTTTTTCACAATGATGGCGATTCTGCCGGCCTATGCGCGCAATGTTCTGAATCAGTTGGAACCGGAGTTGCTAAAGTTGCAGGCACAAAATCCCAATATGAGGCCAGTTCTGGGATGTGTATGACGTGTCCCGTGTGTCAAGATCGCGTTCTCTGGGAACGGGCAAGCGGTGCCATACTGGGCAAGACCGCGGTAGTACTGGGATGATTGCCTCACAATTTTCTACAAGCGGGCAGTGCAGCTTCCTACAAACCCAGCCGACAAACTTTCAATTGATTTGCTGCATGCTCACACAGTTGCGAATATTTTGCTATAGATTCATGTTTGCTCTCTCCATTCAATCGCTCGCAACATCAGGATTGATCTAATGAATGTGAATTTGCAAGGTGCGGCGCAGTTCCTTGATTTACTACCAGACGAGCTTGTTGATAAAGGACTTGTAACATCAGTGAGGTATGATTTGTGCGCGATGTATCATAAATCATGCACATTGTGCATGATTGCGATGCGATGCCCAAGGTTTGACATTCGCATCAAATTGAAGAGCAGAAGCGAGCGTCTTGAGTTGAATGAATTCAGCAAGCTCCAGGATTCTGAATTCAGTTGCATACCAGTAACAATGGCATGTGAGACCATCCCAGGTGTGAGTTGGAACAAAGCACGGCCGAGCGACGAGCCGCTGAACTGCCACCGTCTCCGAAGAAGGTGAGCGAGAGTGGACTAATTGCACCTCTCCCTGAACACCTGCCCTCATATTGGACAAACCAGGACTGGGTGACTGGGTGATGATGACGGAAAGCGATGAACATCGCTTTCAGTTGCTCCCCGGTAGGTTTTGCAGGGGGGTTGGGCTAGGGGGGGGGGGTGAAAATATCGAGATCGTGTTTTGTAGACTTTTTGGTGGCTTGAGGCAGTATGTTGAGGTTAACGAAACACTGTAAAATACAGCAAAAATAAGA